TAAAAGTATAAATATAAATATAAATATCGGATTAGATGTTTCAAATCAGGGATGAAATATTGCATATGTGTACAGGGTGCCCGATAATTGATGATAATTTTTCAAAAGTACATGGGAGATTCCAGGAAGTTGTATATCATGTTTTGTAAAAAGTACCACAGTTTTTAAGTATTGTACTTTGATCATTTTCAAATTGACTAGTCATTAGTCCCCGAAATTATATTTGCCTTTAAATTGGCGGCTGTGCATTTCTTTGAATCTTAAATTTTAAAATTTTTGGGTGACAAAAAAATGTATAAGACAAAACCTAAAATTAGAGATAATAACACAATAGCTACTCATAAATTCAAAGATAACATATTTGTGTAACGTAGATGTTTCTACGTATTTTCCGAATAACTAAATAAATTGCTTTTTTTATGTTTGCAATAGTAATAATATTTGAAACATCAATTTATTAATTTTATTTTTTTCGTTAATAACGTATTTTCTAGCATTCATTTCGTTTTATTGATAAATGTTAAAAACATTCAATTCAGTTACAATGTACACGTTACATGTACATGTATCTGTTTGTCTTTATCTGAATAGCCTTTCTTGTGATCACATATATCGGTCACCTTGTATACGCTTATATTTTTTTACTAAAAGTTATCTGAAATATGAAATCACAACTTTATCCTATTAAACAATCGAATTTTTCGTACTACACATTAGTGATAGGATTATGTAAAAAGTAATAATAGTAAACGCAATTCAAAATACACAATGAATTACCGAGAACTTATCCATTCTGGGAATTATTGTTATAAAGTAACGTAAATTTATAAATATTATTATTTTAAAATTGTAAATGTAAGGTTTAGTTCAAAAGCTCTCCGTAGCATACCCATCGATTGCGCTAGTAGTCTTCTCATGCCAATTAGTACATTGTGTTCCTCAGTAAATCGTGGTTCGTTAAATGAGTAATTACCTCGTAATTAGTATGTTTTTGTGAAAAATAGACGATTGTTTGCCGACATGATTTCCAAAATACTATCAGTGTGTACGGATTAATCAAAACTGCAGCAAGCTTTTATGTTTCCATAATTTTATTCGGTGAGTTTTTTTACAGAGCTTCTTTTAATATAACAAACAAACACAGTCTGCCAATTTGAAACAGTATTCATCCCCTTTTATAGGTAATTATCAATAAATAGTTCTGCAGTATACATTAGTCATAATCAGAGATCAAACATTCTTTAATAAGATGCCAATTTTTCCAAATTATTATAAACTATTATACAAAAAATTAAAGTACAATCCTCAAGAGATATTTCCTTCCTTTCTTTTATAAATTTTCTTTAAATTTAATATGCGATTTTTTACACCTTTCCGCTGTAAAATTTCTTTGTCTAATTGTTTGTTGATATATGTAAACTAGATGCATTTATAAATTCAAAATTCAATGGAATTGTGCAGTAACAAATAGCTATAACATAAATTATTATTAGCTTATAACCTTTCACTGTCTAGATATTGTATCATTCCATATGATAATAGTTTATCTGTAGTGAAATGAACAAAGAAATGGTACTCATTAGAAAATATGTTAGCAAATATAGTATTTTTTATTATCAAATGGGAAAGTGCTACCCATGTATAAAACCATTTCAATAGTTTGTTTAATGTGCAATTGTTATTTGGAACTGTACTAAAGCACCGTTGTCACCATATAATTCTACGTACCATTTTTCATAATTAACAGCTTTTAAAGCACGGTTGTTACCATAAAATTCTACGTCCCTTCATTCATAATTGACAGCATTTCGAATTTCCTGAATAATTTCCATATCCTTTAAATTTTACGTGCGCTTTTTCGTTTTTTCTATGATTATTATGTTCAATATTTTATTAAATAACAATACCGTAGGACCTTTAATTGAAACCACATTAAAATACAGTTTCTGCTATAAAATTCTAGGTACTATCTTTAATAGTTAACAGCTTTTAGAACTTCCTAAATAATTTTCATCTAAAATTTACTTGCGCTTTTTCGTATATTATTTTCTGTAATCTCATAAGTAACACTACATTCCTATTTCTGAGTAGTTTTTTTCAGTGGCTGTTGTCCTGTCATATTATCGATTAATTGCTAAAAGAGAACATTCTGATGTAAAATTGTTATCATACACAGTAACAAATTGAATATTATGTTAAATTAAAGCATTTCCGAGCGCATTTCTGTCCTCTGTTTTCCGAATACTTACTCTCTCTATCCTCGAATCATTGAACGGTTTGCCGATCGAGAACAAAATATTTTTGTTGTTTTAATAAGAACAGGAATTTGTCTATCAAAATTAAAATATGATTTTTGAAATATGAAAAACTTACAATTTTCTTGTATGGTAATATCACACAAAGAAAATGTAAACTTTTTTATTTGGCCAAGTATAATTGGTAAATTAAAAGCTTCTCTAGCACAATTTAAAAGTTCCTTATGGTTTGAAAACTGTGCTATTCTAGATGATAAGAGCCTATTTTAATAATTTAAATATTATAATAAACTAAAGCATTTCCGACCGCATTTCTGTCCTCTACTTTCCGAATACTTTCTCTCTCTATCCTCGAATCCTTGAACGGTCCGACGATCGAGAACAAAATATTTCTCTGCTTTTGAAATAAATGTTTGTCTATCAAGATTAGTACATATATGATTTTTGAAATTTACACTTTCTTTGTATGGTAATATCACACAAAGAAAATATAAACCCTTTTTGTTGGTCATGTAATTATAATGGGAAATTTCAAAGGTTTTCCATCACAATTTCAATGCTTCTTATTGTTTGAAAACTCTGCTATTCTAGTTGATAATAGTCTATTTTAATAATTTAAAAATTATAATAAACTAGAGCATTTCCGAGCGTAAATCTGTCCTCTATTCTCCGAATACTTTCTCTCTCTATCCTCGAATCCTTGAACGGTCCGACGATCGAGAACAAAATATTTCTCTGCTTTTGAAATAAATGTTTGTCTATCAAAATTAGTACATATATGATTTTTGAAATTTACACTTTCTTTGTATGGTAATATCACACAAAGAAAATATAAACCCTTTTTGTTGGTCATGTAATTATAATGGGAAATTTCAAAGGTTTTCCATCACAATTTCAATGCTTCTTATTGTTTGAAAACTCTGCTATTCTAGTTGATAATAGTCTATTTTAATAACTTAAAAATTATAATAAACTAAAGCATTTCCGAGCGTAAATCTGTCCTCTATTCTCCGAATACTTTCTCTCTCTATCCTCGAATCCTTGAACGGTCCGACGATCGAGAACAAAATATTTCTCTGCTTTTGAAATAAATGTTTGTCTATCAAAATTAGTACATATATGATTTTTGAAATTTACACTTTCTTTGTATGGTAATATCACACAAAGAAAATATAAACCCTTTTTGTTGGTCATGTAATTATAATGGGAAATTTCAAAGGTTTTCCATCACAATTTCAATGCTTCTTATTGTTTGAAAACTCTGCTATTCTAGTTGATAATAGTCTATTTTAATAACTTAAAAATTATAATAAACTAAAGCATTTCCGAGCGTAAATCTGTCCTCTATTCTCCGAATACTTTCTCTCTCTATCCTCGAATCCTTGAACGGTCCGACGATCGAGAACAAAATATTTCTCTGCTTTTGAAATAAATGTTTGTCTATCAAAATTAGTACATAGATGATTTTTGATATATTATAAACTTACACTTTCCTTATATGGTAATATAACACAAAGAAAATGTAACCCTTTTACTTGGTCATGTAACTATAATGGGAAATTTTAAACGTTTTCCAGCACAATTTCAATGGTTCTTATTGTTTGAAAACTCTCCTGTTCTAGATGATAATAGTCTATTTTAATAATTTAAAAATTATAATAAACTAAAGCATTTCCGAGCGTAAATCTGTCCTCTATTCTCCGAATACTTTCTCTCTCTATCCTCGAATCCTTGAACGGTCCGACGATCGAGAACAAAATATTTCTCTGCTTTTGAAATAAATGT